CATAACTTCCTGACTTTTGTATTCAATGCCCCTATTTATAAAGCCCAGTATCCCGTATGCTTTTTTAACAGCTTTGTCTACCTTTCCTTCCACCTTCAAAGATTTACTTATATGACCCTCAGGTCTCTCTGTTCCTTCACTCCCTTTAAGATTGTACCATCAGCTTATATTGCTCTTCTCATACTTCCTCCCAAAATGCATCATTTCACATTTCTCCACATCAAACTTCATCTGCCCCGTGTCGGCCCATTTTACCAGTCTGTCTATTTCCATTTGCAGTCTGTTACTATCCTCCTCACTGTTTACTACTTTTCCAGCTTAGTATCATCTGCAAACTTGGAAATTGTACTCCCTATACCCAAGTCCAGTAATTTATATAGATCATAAACAGCAGTGGTCCCGATACTGAACCCTGGAGGGACACCACTACACACTTCCCTCCAGACATAAAACAACCGTTCACCACCACCCTCTGATTTCTGTCTCCCAGCCGGTTCTGTATCCGTTGCCACTGTCCCTTTAATCGTGGGCTTCTATTTTGCTTACAAGTTTCTTATGTGACACTTTATCAAAAGCCTTTTGAAAATCTATATAAACTGCATCAATTGCAGTACCTTCATCCACTACTTCATCAAAAAACTCTATCAGGTTTGTTAGACACGATTTGCCTTTATTAACCCATATTTTTCTAAGTGAAACTTTATTGTGTCTGGATTATAGTCTCTGTACGTATTCCCACTTCCGACGTGAGGCTGATTGGCCTGTAGTTCCCAGGTTTATCCTTCTGCCCCTTTTTGTACAGGGGAGTAACATTTGCAACCCTCCAGTCGTCTGGCATCACCCCGGTGTCCAAGGTGGATTGAAAGATCGTGGCCAGAGCCTCCGTTTTTTCCACCCTTATTTCCCCGAGTAACCTAGGATGCATCCTGTCCAGAAGGGTTGACTTATCTATCTTGAGCACCGATAACCTTTTTTAGTACCTCCTCTCTGTTTATTCTTATCTTATCCAATTTCTCTCCCCTCTCCTCCGATACTGTGGCATTGGCTGCATCCTCTTCTTTTGTGAAGACGGATGCAAAGTACTCATTCAGTACATCTGCCTCCACAAGAAGATTTCCTCTTTGATTCCTAATTGGACCCACCCTACCTTTGACTAACCTTTTATATGCTTATAAAATACCTTAGTGTTCCCTTTTATGTTACTTGCTTATCTTTTCTCATACAATCTCTTTGCCCCTCATATTTCCTTTTAGAGTTCTCCTCTGTACTTTCTATATTCTATTTGATTATCTTCTGTATTTTGGACCTGACATTTATCATAAGCCTCCTTTTTCAAAGGGTTCTGACGAAGGGTCATGGACCCAAAACAATGACTCACTTTCCTTTCTCCATAGATGTTGCCTGACCTGCTGAGTGTTCCCAGCGACTTCCGTTTTTTGAGTATCTTCACCTTTGATTGTTCCTTGTCCCTTTCCAATAAGTACTCTAAACCTATTGATATTGTGATCACTGTTGTCCAGAAGCTACTGAAACCTGCTCCACTTACCCCACTTCATTCCCCAGAACTAGATCCATCACTGCTTCCTTCCTCGTCGGGTTGGAAACATACTGATCCAGAAAGTTATCCTGCACACATTTCACGAATCCTTCCCCCTCCTTACCCTTTACACTGTTATTTTGCCAGTCTATGTTAAGATAATTGAAGTCCCCCATTATCACTACTCTATTAGTTTTGCATTTTTCTGAAATCTGCTACAGATTTGCTCGTCTATCTCCTTCCCACAATTTGGTCTGTATTAACAGAGTAACAGCTCCTTTTCTGCTCATTAACTCTAACCAAATAAATGCTGTTTGGACCCTCTAGCACACTGTCTCTTTCCAGGGCTATAACCGTGTCTCTAATCAATATTGCCACCTGCTCTTCCTTTTCTTTCCTTATCCCTCCTGAATACATCGTAGCCAGGAATATTCAGCTCCCATTCCCGCCCTTCTTTGAGCCAGGCCTCCATTATTGCCACTACATCATAACCTCATGTGTCAACTTGAATCTGCAGCTCACCAATCTTATTTGTCAACTCTGTGCATTTACGCACATCAACTTAGTCTGCTCTACATTTCTCTGCCATCTAATCCCTCCTTTTCCTAGATTACTCCTTGTTATACTGCCATTTGCCTCTCCCAGCCCTCTATGTAACTTGTTTGTCCTCTCTAATGCTACATCCTGATTCCTTTCCCCCCGCAAAATTAGTTTAAACCCTTCCCCACAGCACTAGTTAACCTCCCTGGAGGACATTGGTCCCAGCCCTATTCAGGTGTAACCCATCCAACTTGTACAGGTCGCACCTGCCCCAGATTGGTCCCAATGTTGCAGGTACCCGAAGCCCTCTCTGCACCATTTCTCCAGCCATGCATTCATACGTTTGATCTGCTGTTTTGATACTCACTTGCATGAGGCACTGGGAGTAATCCAGAGATCATCACCTTTGAGGTCCTACTCTTTAGCTTTTTCCCTAGCTTCTGATACCCTCCCTGTAGGATCTCAGCTCATTTTTTCCCTACATCATAGATCCCAACATGGATCATGACTTCTAAATGTTCCCCTTTCCATGATGTTTTCAACCCTGGCACCAGGGAGGCAACATACCAAGCGAGAGTCACATCTTTGGTTATAGAAACGCGTGTCTACTCCTTTCACCATTGTGTCCCCAGTGGCAATTGCATTGACACTCTTCCCTGTGTCCTCCTGTGTATCCATTTGCTTTTGACTCCCCTCCCCACAGATGTCATCACCCTGACCGGCATTCAGTACAGAGAACCAGTTTGTGTGCCACACTCAGGGGATTTCTGCACTGCCCGTCCCCTCTTCCTCCCATCGTCACCCATTGCTCTCCTCATGAACCCTCTGTGGCTGTGGGGTGACCACCTCCTAAAACGTTCGATCCATGAACTCTTCAGCCTCCCACATGCTACGTAATCCTGAGCTCAAGCTCGAGCAGCTGGAGGTACGTCCTACACACGTGTCTGTCCAGGGCCCACAAAGCATCCTGGAGTTCCCACATGGCACACATTGTGCATGCAACCGGTCTCAGCTGCCCTGCCATATTCCCAGACATGTTTTATATTATTTTAATATAACTTATATTTTATAATTCTGCACCTCTTTCCCACTCTGCACCGAATTCCCACTCTCACCAAATTCCTTAACAGAATTCTCACTCTGTTCCCCCTCATTCAGTTCCCTCTTCACGCTGCTGGGCTCTCTGCATAGTTTGATTGTTTCAAATAAAACACAAAATATCAGGTCAAAAAAATACTTTTTTCTTTAGTAATGCCTCTACTGGAAGACGGAATAAAACGAACAGTTTTTATATATACAAATATTAAGTCAATTCCTGTATGCACACCGATGGCAGTAGGATTAAATTTTCTTCCTGAAAGGTTTGGACCTTCCCTATATGGAGGATTCCCCCATGTTTCTCTCTGCACAGGGACGCGGAGTGGCACAATCAGCTGTTTGTCCATCAACCTTCCCGATGAGGTTTCCATAAGCTTCGGAAAAGATGACTCAACAGTTTAAAGATGTCAGGCCAAGAACATGAATTCACTGTTGAGCAAACTGGATGACTGCGCAATGCTCACTCTGCTGTGACTAATATCTCCTGTTTTTTTTTTAAAAAATGAAAATTTATGCTGATCCCTCTGCGGCCTCACCTCTGCCACCTCCTGCAGGCCCAGCAATCTGGCCGCTCCCTCCCTGCCTCAGCAAACACTGGCTTCTTCATGTCCCTGGACCTATCCTCTCCACCTTTCAGCTTTCAGCCATTTTGCCCTCGCTCCTTCAAACCCGCCTCAAGAGTCTGTGGGACATTGCTATGAGCAATCAGCTGCCGCAATTTGCCCACAAAATACACAGTCACTCCACTTTACGATATATTCTGTGAAACGCTTTGAGATGTATCAACGATGTGTTTAGGCGCTATAACAAATGCAAGGATTATTTTTATTATCTTCAACCCACCCATCCTCTTCAGCTGTCCACACCCCCCACCCCGGCTCAGGAGCATGGCAGACAGCTGTGTGAACCGCGTTGAGATCCCCTCTGGACAGGAGAGGAGCTGTATAAATGTAAACTATTGACAGCTGGCTTTATAAAATCTACTACAAATTTAAGCAGCAATAACTTCTCTTTCTTCCCACTGTAAAAAGAAACCTCGATCAAGCTTAAAAGTCTGCGGGGATGAAGCAATAGCGACGTCAGTCTCCAAGGAGGACAGTGGCTTACTCTGTAGCTGATCTCACTTGAGAAAGATTTACATTACAGGCTGGCCTCCACATAAACAGTTTTCTCGGCAGATCCACAGACTCGAAAACAGCATAATTTCTCCTCCCACCGCCTGTAGGCCAGGCACTCAACTCTCTGGTTTTCTGAGCAGCGCCCAGAACAAACTCCGTCTTCACACAACTGGCAAGATCTGACAATTCTCAGATCACCGTTCCATGTAGTGACACAGATGACGTGTGATTATAACGTGTGGCAGGGGGAAGGGGAGCACGGCATTGTCAGAGGTGCTCTCCTTCAATTGGAAAGAGAAGGGCATTACTCTGCTGCCCCAGACAAAATTAGCCATTAGCTGCTTGTGGGACATTGCCGTATACAAATTGACTACGTTGTTTGCCTGCCTGTAAAACATACATTATTACACTTCACAGAAAATCTTGTTAAGTCCTTTGAGTCATCCTGCCAACATGAAAGGTACTGTATCAAAAGCAAGGTTATTATTATTTATAAAGTGTAGTGACTGTGTATTTAGGCAAACAAGTGCCAAATGTGAAATCTGAAGCAAACTGTGTTGTAGGCAGTGGTCCTGCAGTGTAGGCAGAGGGAGTTCCACAGCATAGGATATTAAATAAACAGCTTAAATTACTTATAACACTACAGAACTTGTAACAAATCTACATCAGTCTATTAAAAAAGGAAGATTATTTTGAAGAAAGCTCACCCTGGACACCTGGGCACAGCGACACAAGGTGATCACATCCAGAAATGAGAATATTCTGTTGGGGAAAAGGAAAAGGTATTAAATCAGGGCTGACCTGGGACAATCTCTCAGCTGTCTCCCACTGGAGCTGGGGAGCACTTCACGCAGGAGGAAAAGTAAGTTACTGAATGTAATTCATCCCCTGCTCCCCAGCGAAAATACTGTATCATTCACTCCCCTGCACAAGTCACCACAAACAATGTTTAGTCTGTTATTTTACAAAAGTGTATTTAATGCTGAGTTCAGTTTACTTGCTTGAATTTGAGTGATGTCAATGAGCATTATACGTGTTGACAGTGTGACATACCACCCCGTTTGTCACGTGGTCGTGTCAGTCGGTCTATTACATGATCATGTTAGCCCGTCACTGCTTGTGTGGCCCATGCTGGAATCCAACCACACTGAGATCTCTCTGTGCAATCGGTGTGGCAGCCACTTCCTCAACCACTGGGGCATTCAGAGTCAGAATCCTGAGAGACGTAGGCTGCAAACGGTCTAATTAGTTTTGCAGAAGTGGATTTATGGATCATAAATGGCCTGGCTGTGACCTTTTCAGAGTCGCTCACACAACTGTTGTGTATTTCCCTTTTACAATAATCCCTCCAAAAAAAAAATTATTTGGTCACTCAATCCACGACTGGGTGTGGGGACGTTGCTGTGCGCAATTGGCTACGGTGTTTTGCCCATAAAATATACAGTCAATTCACTTTATAGTATATTTTGTGAAGCGCTTTGAGACGTTTCAACGACATGATAAGACACTATATCAAATACTGGGATTATTATTATTATTATTCATCATAACAGGAAATCGTCATCACTCAGCTGTAGTCCACAAGACAAACCCCAAATAATCCTTGTGGGAGTGCTCCAGTGTATCACACTATAGCCATTAACTCAAAATCACTACGATTTCTCCCTTTAATTCTCCCCCAGAAACAGGATTCCTAACAGCCAGTTTAGTAATCCTGCAGTGTACATGTAAACAGCTGTATCTATATTAAATCTGCACCAAACTCCACAGTCTAAATCCCACTCAATCCCATCTGAAGGTGAGTACAAATCATTGTAACCAAGTTATTCCAGTATATTACAGTCGAACGTTATTGTGAGTGATAGCAGAAAATATCCTGTGATGAGAGGCTGGGTGGACTGCAGCTATATTCTGTAGAGAAGAACAGATTAAGAGATGATTTGATTGAGGTATTTAAAATAATGAAGGGAATTCACATATTAGATAATGGATGATTCTTACCTTTGGAGCAGAGCCTAAAAATTAAAAGCCGACTATAAAACACAAGACACTTGTTGTCAAAGAAGGTTGTGAGGTTGAGGAACGTTGCCCCAGAAAGTTATAGAGGTAGAATCAACAGGGATGTTTTAAGGAGAGACACAGACTGGGGTGACAGTGGGCAGAGCATTGGCATTAAATGATCCGCCAAGATATAACAAACTGATGGAACAGGATGGATGAGCTAATGGCCTCCTCCTGTTCTTATTTTTCCACATATACACCCACAGTAGTTTAAGTAACTTCCCTCTCACTAAGTCTCCAGAAGTATCCAGACAACAAGAACTTGCATTTATATAGCACCCTTCATCGGAGTATTTTGGAGTGTTGACACCATTTACCTTCTTCCAAATAAAACTGCATGTAAACCGAACCGAAACTGTTGCTTTTAACATGATATTTTGCACATCAGTTTCATTAAGTGACTTGAATCCCGACAGTAAAAGCTCTGGCAGATCCATGGGTTTAATACCTGTCTGGGGCAGGTATCAGGTGGGATTAGCCGTCTGTGGCCATAACCCAGCGACAATTGTGTAGAGGATCAGCAACTCTGCGTTCCTTTTATAGACTTTTACATTTCAATCAGAAGGTCCCAAGGTCTCTGATGCAACAAACCAGACGTGAAGTTTCAAGAGCGCATACACCAGGTAGTGGGTGAGACAGATTATTTTCCTAAGTATTCGTCCATGGCCTTTTTTTTTCACAGCAATGATTAAAGGACACTAAAACAATGGTCCCAAATATAACTTGAATTACCAGCCAGGAAATGAGTTTGAAGGGAGGGGAGGGGGAGGGTATCCTCTAGGCCATCACCTGATGTCCGTTCAGCACTTCCCCCTTAAAAGCATAGTCCAAAAACCCTGCAGGGAAGGACAGATATGGACATAACCCTTGCACAGCAAAATGTGTCCAGTCTTCCGCAGTCGTCAAAGGGTTTAACCCTGAAACCTCTGCCCGTATTCATTATTACACAGACACCTACTCTTTGCAATTTTTTTTAATGTGGCACGGCCCATTGTTTGTGGCTAATATTACAATCAGAGTGTAATTTCAAGATGTTATTTACTTATCTACATTCAGAAATTGAGGTCAAACTACAGTCGAGGCGACCTGAGAGGAAGACTTTTTCTAGCAGTAACTGCGAGGACAAGAGAAGCATTGCCTCGGAGCAGCGAGGGAGGGAGAGGGGGAGGAGTGCAGGAATTGGGAAAATTATGGAAAATAAAGCTCATGAAAATAACCTAATAAATACAAAACAGCATGGCTTTACTTTAGAAGGGTAAAATCTAGTCTGACCAACCTTAGATATTCTGGTGGCTTCACAAACTTCCCAATCTAGCACTGAAAGTGTGCCAAAGCTCTCCAACAAACACACCACACAGGACATGCCTTTCCAAGCCACTGCACATCAAAGGTAAGTCTTGTATGTGGGCAATTAACTAGTGGAAGAGAAGGGAAGGATTTTTTTCCACTACCCCCAAAAAATCCTAAACCTGCTCAAAATTCAAAACATCTATTAAGACNTTTTTTTATATAAATGAGGAAGAATCCACAATTACAGATAAAAGCACACGTGGCACTTATACAGCACTGAAGTGATAGCATTCTATCAGAGCAGATTATTATAATCAATACTGCTCTCTATTCTTGCTATTAATTACAGGCATGTTGCCAAATAAGGGCCACTCTTCATTAATAAAGTGCTGTAGCGTGTTTTGTTCTTTGTACTGTGGTGACCACAAATGTGCATTTTGTAAAATGTTACTTAATCAATAGCTGGCAGTTTAGAGAACCTGGATCATCAGATTTAATGAGGGGTCAATCAGAAGGCACTGATTTAATGTCAGCGATCAAGAGAAAATCTCTGTGTTGCAATAAGGCAACTTCATATAATGGACTGCACTGCATCTTGGACTTACCAAAGTACCTTTTTAAAAACATTTCATTAAGAGTAGTTCAAGTTGTATCTAAAGGCTGCCCCATCTTCAGAAAGCTACGAGCAGTGGCTGCAGGAACACAGGATCAGTGTTGAGTAGCATACAGCACTGCCTACCAAGCTTTTATAATAAAACATGTGACGTATAGAAGCCTAGAATCTCAGTCGTTTAATTATAATGTTTTTGGTCAGCTTAGCGTCTAACACATGCGGAAACCCATCATCATGCTTAGGAGTCTCCAAATCAAACTGAGTTCCCTGCATCCCATGTAGTCCATTCCGAAATTCCCATGTTTTGGAATTGAATGCACTCTCTCTCCTTTAAGGGTTCATCCTGCTTACCTAACTCTGGAGAGTATTAGATGCAGGTGAACAAAATCCAAGTCTTGGGGAGCCTGAAATATGTGTTGGGATATTGTTGGAATCTAACCAGCTGAAACCGCATTGCTTGCAGTTGAGAGCACTGTCTGGCAAGCTTTCCCGCTGCTTGTCCAGCTAGGACCACCCTATCCATTGGGGCTTTGGCTTGCAGGAATAACAGGAGCTGAATGGGAAGAATCCCTGTCCCCAGTTTTATTAGCATTATATCTGAACAATACATTACAGCAGAGAAATGAAATACTCGGCACAACTGGTCCATGACAGTGTTTATACTCCACATGAGCCTCCACCCCTCTTGATCCGCTCTTCCATACCTCTGGGACGCCCTCTCCTCCCTCAGCATGCCACAGAGTGCTCAGTGAGGGATCAAGAAGCCCCCCTAATAAGATCTCTCAGCGGTTTAGTTCTAAAAATTCTCTGAAGTAATCAGATTACATTACCTGAAATATCTTCTATGGTAAGGACAGACAGATTTAAAACCGACATAATCCCTTTGTCTAAATTGCTCAAAGGATTCAGGACATTTTAAATACAGTGAAAGTTGGTTAAGGCGGACACATCAGGGCCGGCCATTCTGTCCAGTTTAAGAGGCATCTGAGGTTAACCAAAATACCATTGCCTGTTCCCGTCCAGCAGAAGAGCAGAGGTGCCAGCACCTCCTTCCCATTGCTGTTCCCATTGGACTTGAAGGAGACCAATTAGTGGCAGCTCCAAGATTGACTGACAGTTTGGGGCACTCCACCCATTCACAAGTGGCTCCAGCAGTCTGACTCCTCATGGACGGAGTCCCAACAGTTATCAAGTGGAAACCTGCCGGGTCTGGAACTAGGAGCTTCCGAGAGATCAACTGAGAGAAGGTTCTCCACAATTTATGGTATCAGCAATTAATTTGTCAGGAGAAAGAAAGAGTGCGTCATGCTCGTATTTTATTAATATGCAGTTCGGCTCGATGGGGATTGGATGCTATCTTTGGGAAATGGTTTCAAAAGCAGTTTTCGTTGATGGGTTGAAAATCGCCTCTCTACTGGCAGCAAGGATCCCAAAGGAAGGGAGGGAAAGAATCCCAAAGGGAGAGAAGGGATCCCACTGGGAGTGTAAAGCTGCACAAGATCTGCAAATCTCACTGCAAAGGTTTCAAGGCTATTAGGCAAAGTGGATAAGCTCCTATCTGTGGCACAGGGCACACATCTTAGTCGGGGAACAATGGGAAGAGTGTCCAATGATCAATACTCCGTGTTGATGTGATTCCATTATAGTTGTGTTATCTGTCGGAAAATGCACTGACTTGTCGATTAAACTGCAAATGTTCCAGTGCCGTCCAGTTTGTTTGATGTACGTTTCAGTGTCCTTGGATCCAATTGTTCTAGTGAAGGGCACTGGTCACTAACCTCTTGTGATGCCTGGGTGGGAGGTGGGGTTGGGGGGTAGCGGTCAGTGAGGATCCCGTGGGTCACACGGGGTAGTATCCCAGAGCAATGCGATATAACCCAGAACCAGCAACACAGCACTACCATCTAGCAGGTCAAAAACAACTGCATTGAGACACAATGCACAAATAGTTTTCAGCTAAGATCACAGGCATAAATACCAACACAGAATTAGTCTCAAGCCAGAATGATATCCCGGTATATGGAAATCTGTCCTCAATGGTTCAAGACTTGATCCAAATGCAATTTCCCATCATCATACCTGGTATACCTTAACGGCTGCCTCTAAATGTTCTTTACCTGGTGCCCAAATGACCCTTTCTGCTGAGAGTGTTTTGTAGCAGCTTAAACTCATTCCTGCACCTTCCTACACATTTCTTTTACATTCCCATCACCTTATGTTCCTTAACAACAGTGCATCTGCCACCCCACTGTGTTTGACTACCCTCCTCAATCACACTGTAGACTTGCACTTGCACACACATAATACACAACACCTGAGCACCTACAGCACTGGAGCACATCTTTAAGCCTTTGTCACGAACATTTCAGTTCATCTGAAATTCCATCTTTCTTGATTAAGGTGACTGACAGAATAAAGTTTACTTTGATATAAAATTATACTAAAAGTACCAATTACTGGTACAGTTGTAGAAATGCGTCCCATGAATAGTAGAAATCAGATCCTCACAGAAACTGCAGTAAAAGTATTTGTTGACCAAACAAGTTAGTTTCATTATTTGAAAGTTTATACAATAAGTATGAACATTTTGAAGTCAGTTTTAACTTTTTAGTAGGTTCTGTTTTACTTCTAAACTCCTTTTGATCTTAAAACTTCTATAAAATCAATCTATGCTAAAGGAAGTCGATATGAAGGTACGAAAGCAGAGAAAAGGGTTCCTTGTTTTTGATATTATTTTCTCTCAGTGTTGATCTTACCGAAGCAGCAATTCCTTTGGGAGTTTCTTGTTTATCACAGCTTCGTCATTGTTCGAGAACATCTACAAAAACAAAGTATCAGCGTTAGGATGTAACAGCGATCAGACAGGAGAAAATGAAACCTAAACATGAATGTATTGAAGACTGCGATTGCATTCCCCATGGGATGGCAAACACCTTGTAAGACTTTGTACCAGAGGCATGGGAATGGGTAATGGTCATTTCACACAAGTTGAAACCCAGAATCAAGTGCAAAGCACGACCATCAAGAAGGTCAGAAACAACTCTTGCTCAGAGCAAAATTCATCTGCTCTATTATGAGCATTTCAAAAGCCTCTCAAGCTGCTCCACTGGATAGAGACTTCAAAGTCTACAATTCCTCTTCTTTTTGCATCTGCCAAAATCACAGCCATAACGTCATTGCAAGCCGACTATGTTCAGAGATGCAGGCACACATCATACAGTAAACTTAACACTACTCAATCTAGATATGTTCTATTCAAACTCAGAGTTAGAGCGAGTTAGAGTTATAGTTAGAGTTAGAGAGAGTTAGAGTTAGAGCAAGTTAGAGCACTCGCTTTGCAAGCGAGAGACCTGAGTTCAATTCCAGGCAGAGGGCGAAACCTTGGGCAAGTTTCCTTACTCCACACACCTAATAATAATCCCTCCAAAACCAAAAAAAAACAATAATAAATTGGTCATTTTCAATCTACGACTGTTTGTGGGACATTGCTGTGCGCAATTGGCTGCCGCGTTCGCCCACAAAATATACAGTCAATTCACTTTACAGTGTGTTCTGTGAAGCGCTTTGGGACGTCCTCCCGACGTGAAAAGCACTATATCAAATGCAAGGATTATTATTATTATTATATACCTAACAGAAGAAAATGCCTGATTATATTCTCCAGATAAAATCTCTCCCCACCCACCCTCCCAACCCGTTTGAAAACCGCAGTGAAAGTAATTAAGAATTCTAAGTTATAGCACTTTAGTAATTCCTAAGTATCAAGTCTTCTCACACAAGTCTATCTAGGTTTCCAAAAAGAGTTGAGCTTGTAAGCAGAGCTGCTGAGTACAGCATAGGTCTTCCCCCGAAGCAGGGAAAGTGAAAGCCCCGAGGCACAGACACTGTCCTCCAACAACTCTTAAAACATGTCACAGAATCATAGAAATCTACAGCACAGAAGGAGGCCATTTGAGTCACCAATTCTGCAGTGGCTCTCAGAGCAAGGTGTTCATTCAAACCTACTGCCCCATCCTATCCCCAGCCTTCAAGCCTCAAGCCTTTGTCTCTCCTACACCCGACTGCCTCCCTCTTGGAACCCACAATGAACTCCAGCACCTTACTTGGCAGGGCATTCCGTATCTCAACACTTCTGGGTGAAAAAATATTCTCCAAAGTCACTCTTCTCATGACGATATTATATCTACATCATTGATTAAAATACTGTAGTTGCTAATGACTCAGACAACCAGTACCAGTTGGAAAATAGGCAGCAGTTTGTTTACTGTAGAAGACTGGTTTGTGTGATGTTGCAAAGTACAACACAGTAGCTCAGTTCAGCACTCCATCAGTGTTGCGGGATTAGTGCCAGTGGCAGGCTGACAAGATCTGACCTAGAAAACAAAAAGCCTATCGTACACAGAAAACGAGAACCAGAAACAATATTGTATTTTTCGTGCCGTCCCATCCATTAAGTGCAAAGTGTAGAAACATGCTGCGCAAAACACATTCATATACAGCATCCTTGAGTATTCCACACAGGTGCTGGTTGCCATGACATAAGAGGCTCCCAGGTCCCAGAGGCAGTGCAGAGGAGAGGAACGAGGATGATCCTCAAAGTTGGAAGAAGTTGCTATAAGCAACGATTAGACAAGCTAGGGGCTTCTTCAGTCTTTAGAGAGGATGTCTCAGAGGGGATCCATAAAGGTGTGTAGCATTTTCTATGCGAGTGAAAAAGTAAACCCAGATTAATACTTCAGGATTCCGTAAGAACAAGAGAACATTGGTTCAAGAGATTCAAAAGACAATTTCTGGGCAGACACCAAGAAGCATTTCTTTACACAGAAGACAATCAATGATTGGAACAGGAGGGCAGGAAGGGTGGTTGAGGCCAGGGCCCTGGGACTCATTTAAAAAACACAGTTCCATGCAGTGATGGGAGGATGGTAGTGTGGGTGTTCTGGAAGGGTGAGATCAAGGGTCTTCTTCATCTGAACCAAACTTGTGAACTGCTTCTACTCTAGGGACATTGAGTGGTATTATAAATCATGAATAATTGAAGAGCTTGCGATGATTTGTACAATTTCTGCACAGTGATTTCTTTCAGCTGCAGCCCCAACAGCTTGTCAACAGCAGAGTCCAACAAATGCTGGATCTGACCCGAAATCCGACCTCAAGTTTGTCACTACGACTAAATATTGCCCATTCTAAGTTGGTGTCAACAGAACCCAACCCCACCTCGGGGAGTAGGCTTGTGGCACTGGATCAATTGGATCAACTGGAAGCATGACAGCACAAGTTCCCAAATCCTAATCAATATAATAATAATCCTTGCATTTGATACAGCGCCAGATCACGTCGTCAAGAAGTCTCAAATGGCTTCAAAGGATATACTGTGAAGTGAATTGACTGTATTTGTGGGTGAAATCTGGCAACCAATTGCGCACAGCAATGTCCCACAAACAGTTGTGTATTGAGTAACCAAATGTATACATTTTTAAAAAGATTATTGCCCCCGGAATGCGATTCGACAACCGACTAACAACTGGGTTCCTATTTACTGCAAGATAAACAGAGGCATGTGGAGTAAGACTTTTGGCCCGCCCAGGAATCATACCCGGGTTCTCTCACTCACGAGATGAACGCACGAACCACTACGCTCTGGGACTCCACAATATCACTATAGTAGTCTCTGAATTTCTCACTCTTGCAACTTGGAGGTGCCTTTTGGATGAGATGTTAAACTGAGGTCCTGTCTATCCAGGTGGACTTTAAAGATCCTATGACACTATTTGAAAAGAGAAGGGAGTTTCTCCCAGTGTCCTGGCCAACAATCCCCCAGATAAAATTGGCCATGGTTGTTTGTAGGCATTCTGTCCTGTGCAAATGCAAGTTGTTGTTGCTGTGTACAAATTGGCTGCCGCATATGCCTTATCAGTACACATTCACTAGATTTTACACAGAATCCTGTGAAGCACACTTTAGCACTTGACAACTTGGTAAGGTGCTGTATCAAATGTAAGGATTATTTTCAATGCTTTGTAGACGCAGTATCAGTTAGGTACACAAAAAAATATAGTATATGCATTGTATGTGTACACCACAGATTACACACAGACACACACACAGACTCACAAATCATGTGGCTGTCTGGTTTCATAACTTGTCCAGTTCCTTCAATCTGACCACATAGATTAGATTCCTGAATCCAGCTTAATGTGTTCAGTCTGAAAGGCAGGGCATTAGTTTCAAACCTTGAATTAAAACGGAATGTAAGAGCAGAGTTTTGTGTTGAAGACCCACATCGCTAAATATCTGGTGCAGCAACAGTGCAAACCAACCCTCAATTTTATCTCAATAATCAACCTCACTTTCCACTGGAGGCAAGTTTAAAGTATAAAGGTATCCAGCAGTGGCTCTTCGAGCTATCACAACAAAAATGGTCCTCCACAGTCACTACAGTGTTAATTAGTTTGCCTTCTATTGTTGGGCTTTGTGAATACAGTAGTCCTGCAGGAGTAACCTAATCAGCTGCAAACCACTCAACACTCCTGCAAAGTAGTGAACACAAAAACAAACACTTGCTCGAGATCAGAGCCACGTATGTGTTTGGTTATATCTTTACTTTTGTGATATTATCAGTCTGATTCTCTACGAGTTGACGTGGGGGTAGATCTGAGGGATTTGAGATGTCCTTCCGATGTGAAAAGCGCTGTATAAATATAAAGTGTATTTCATTCACTTAATAATAATAATAATCCTTGTATTTGATATAGTGCTTTTCAAGACTTCTAGACGTTTCAAAGCGCTTCACAGGATATACTGTAAAGTGAATTAACTATACATTTGTGGGTGAAACTTACCGGGCCCAGGGACTACCTCGTTGCTGCAACCCACCAGGCAGATTTGCCTTAAGAGAATAAAAGTTAATGCCTCTTGTTCGGTCTCAATGTTCTACAGCAACAGAGAACGTCTCGGGGATTAGTATGCACTGATTTAGTTATAAATCTCAAAGATTCCTCATGCAAAAACAGCCTCTGCCATCAGCCCCCAGAATCAATTAACTGAAGGTCAGCTCCATAAATTTAAACCCCTCAAACAGCGACCGTCTGTACTCAAACTGGTTTCCAACATCAGCAAATACATCGCTGATCTTTCAAAAAGTTGCCTGAATAAAATCACATCATATCAGGAGGTTAAAGTTAGGGCCTTTCTCTTAATGAGGGAATCTTATCTACCAATGCCCATTGCAGAGCACGGTTCCATGTTATTCCACTCTCATTCGTAAATTGTTGGCTTAGCTCACCTCTGGGGATACAACCCCTAACATCGGGAAATTGGTCATTTACTTTATTACAAATTCCTTGCTGTCTGCAAATTGGGCGCAGAGTTTACATATAAATACAGTCACTGCACTTAATAGCATTTGAATCTGCAAAGTGCTTTGAGATGTTTCAGAGTTATAGGCCACTCACCTATAGAACACACTCACCACACTTGATAATAAAATTCTGACATTATAAGGCACTGGATCAAACGCAAGGATTATTATTTATGTTACAGTTCAAAATTACATTTGTAAAGCGCCTTTCACATCGAGAGGACGTACCAAGACGCTCGACAGTCAGGGATTAGGGATTAGAACCCGAACGGGGGGTGGTTGGAATCATGGACAGTGGAGGGCAGAGAGGGTAGGCGGGTGGCTGAAGGCACAGTTGAAGAGGAGGCGTGCCTTGAAGGAGGCAAGAGAGGGAGCGAGGCGAAGGGAATGTGGGATGGAGTTTCAGAGGGTGGAGACAGAGAGGTTGAAGGCCCGACCGCTGATGGTGGAGCGGGCCG